AGAAGGACCTGCACTCCAAGCATTAACATGTCAGATGAAAAAAAAAGAAATATATAAAATTCATGTCATTGCAAAACACGAAAGAAACAGAAGAAGTACAAAAATCACCAAAAAGAAAAAACCAGCAAAAGAAAAACAAGCAGAACAACCAATTGATTTGTTATGGAAGCTAGCAAATTATAGAAGATAAATAAAATCTAATGTCATGCAAACTAGCCTTAGTATTAGTTGTTCTCATCAACTAGCATCTTTCAAGGGAAGTTTATATGCAGGAAATGACTTATGCGAAACATTTATTGATCCAGTTAGGAGTGGTGTAAAAAAAACTTAAAATTATCAATGCTTGAATGAATACAAAAGAGCTCATTGTTGATACTAGGCACACAGGAAACAATCCAAATTAGCACTATGTCCCTTGAAAATATAAGGAACCTAGCGCTTGTCACCACAGGTAGGAATGTGGCAAACAGTAATTAGAAATTCAAATCTTTTGCACACATGATAAAAAGAATCTATTGCCTCGCTATGTGTAAGAAATCCATTGCCAACTCCCAGAAATTGTCAAAGTTTTACCTTCAGCTTTCCATATTGCTCTCCAGAGTGACTATAATCCTAAGGATCTCAACATAAATGTTGTTAATCCTAAGGATCTCAACATAAATGTTGTTCTTAGTGATTTTACTTATGCAGTAATGTTTAGTTTGTCAATTGATTGCCATCATAAAATGCAAAGCACCTTCTGTTTATAGCTGGGATCCACAAGGACATCAACTTCTAATGTTTATGCACAAATGTGGCAAATAAGCATTCCTACGAATTATCAATGAAACTGAAGATAAATAAAGTGGGGCACTCATTTGAGCAGTATTTAACAGGGCAATATATTGTGAAGAAAGCTAAAGGCAAAATCATACCTTTCAGGTAAGCCAAAGAAAGGATCTGAAGCAGTACGGACACCGCTGTGGAGAAGACTATGAAAACCTACATGTTTAAATAAGCTCATCAATATTAGCTAATGAAGCAGGCAAAGATGATGCATGGCATCTTAGGCACAAGAACCACTTACAGAATACTTGTTTGAACCTATTTGCCGTTCAAACACCCTAAAGTAGTACAGCAAGGCAGCTCCAAAGATAAGTTCAGGCGTTGATGAAAAAGCAAACAACGAGGTGATCAGCTTCCAAATCCGCAGCTTTCCATAAACATTCTGCATTGGAAGGGATGGTAAGGGTAACCTCATCAGCTGTCTAAAGCAACATTGTATAAGATCCCCCATTAACATAACCCACTGCAGCTCAAACTGAACCAATTCGACATGGCCAACGAGGATTCAAAACACCAGTTAATACTGCATCACAACGCAGAATTTGCCCGTGCGGCTCCCACTTGCTGATCCCAAAAACACAACAAACAAGTGGCGCCTCCACGCGCGTGCAGAGCGCTCGCAGGAGCAGGGTGGATCTAGTGCGAGGCTACGAGCACCGGGTAGGGGCAGGGAGACTTGCCTCGTAGGAGAGGCCGAGGTCGAGGAAGCGGCCGCGGAAGCCGAAGGCGACGGAGAAGAGCGCGGCGGCGACCACCACGGCCCTCGACACCGGCGCATTGTCTGCGAGGCCAAAAAAAAAAAAAATCGAATCGGGTCGGTTGATCCAAGTGAAATCGCGCTGCTACTGAGATTTGCAACAGTTGAGAAGCCTTAACGATTCAGAGTTCGATTCGGTTTTTTGGAGGGGGGGTTAAAGAGGGGGGCGGGAGAGAGATGGCGTACGGAATCCGGGGAGCCCGCCGCTCATCGCCGGCAGCCGCGCCGCCGCGATGGCCGGAAGGAAGGAGAGAGGGCGGGTCGGTGCCCAGAGACCAGCGGCTTCTGGAACGCCCAGCGGCGGAGTCGGTTGGACACTCAGGGCTAGGGATGAAAACGGTCGGAAACGGTCGGAAAAACCCTCTACCATTTCCATTTTCATTTTATTTTCTCGAAAATGGAATCGGAACGTATACTCGGAAACGGTAAGGATATCGGTTATATCGGTATCTCGGAAACGGAACAGTCGGAACGGGAATATACCGATATCGGACGGAAGTCGAAAATTCATGTCGGAAACAGCGAACTGTGGTATCATCCCGCATTTAACTATGTATGAAGATAACCTTATAATTTCACCCTTGCATCATTATGCTGCCACACAACACCGTTATATGATGATTAATAAGTTGACAATAAGATTGACAAATAATATAAATAAAGTTCAATGATACTTCAACATCAATGTGGCTAAAGCATACAATGTGGCTTACATGATAGGATTACAGCATAACTAATATTGTCCGACTTTTTTTAGGATATAGATTTGAAGTCTTCGAGAACACCAAGCTCACAAGCTGGCATGGCTTCAGCTGATCAGCTCCTTGTCAAATATCATTCATTATTTCATCATCAATTGACATAGCTATATCGTCGTCCTACAGTGGCACATTGCATAAGAACTTTTATGTTGACACTGTATAACTACCGTTGTAATTAAGTTTCATGCTAAACTAGACTTTTTGGTATTTCCAGGTCGATCACAGAGAGGAGTCAAGATGGTGGGGCCCGCCGGTGGATCCCACAGCCTTTCTTTTCCTCTCTTTCTTTTATTTTCTCTCTCTCTTATCCTTCCCTTCTCTCGGTTCCTTTTCCTGCTCTCTCGATTTCTTCTCTGTTTTCTCTCTTGTTCTCTTCTCTGCCTTTGGCTCCTTCACGCGCGCCCGAGAGGAGAGAGGCGCCGGAGATGGCGGCCTGGCGCAGGGCGGCGGTGGGGGAAGGAGAGAGGAGAAAGGGGCGGCATCGGTGGGGAGGAGGAGGCTGGGGCGGTGCAGCGGCGCTCGGCGCTTGGCTCGGTGGCACGGAAGCCGGCGGTGGAGCATGGGGGAGGGAAAGGTGGCCGGCTGCGACGAAGGCCGTCGGGGCGAAGGAGGTTGCGGCCGGCGTCGGCGACCTGGTGGCGGCGCCCAACACGGCGCGGCGGTGCCCCAGCGCCGATGAAGACGACGATGCGGTCAGGCCTAGTTGGCTTCTTTATTCGGAATGGGCTGCTCCTTAATGCCTAATGGGCTCCTCCTCCTGCTAGCCAGGCCCAGCCGACTTCCTTCTTCGGAATTTTGTCGGAAATTTGACGGAAATTACCGATAAAAAACGGTTACCGACAAAACGGTCGGAAAAAACCCCATATCATTTCCGCTACCATTTCCGAAAAAGATTACCGTTTCCATTTCCGATACCGACAATTACCGATACCGATTGAAACGGTCGGTGCAAACCGAAAACGGTAGCCGGAATTCTCGGAAATTTCCGTACCGTTTTCACCCCTACTCAGGGCCTGTTTGGCACAGATCCAGCTCCACGCTGGAGCTCAGCCAAACAGTTTCAGCTCCACCAAAACTGGGAGTAGAGTTGGGTGGAGCTCTCTCACAAAATGTACTAGAGTTGTGGAGCTGGGTTTAAGCAGCTCCACAACTCCACTCCAGACTCAACTCCTAGAGCAATATTTAGGAGTTGGAGCTGTACCAAACAGGCCCTCACACTTGGGCCGATTCGATCACTCGGTTGGTCGTTGATCCAATACCTTCGTGGCTGCGCCGTGAGCCCGTGAGCAGGCCAGCGGACGGCTTTTCTGCTACGGTTTTTTGGCCTGTGGGTGTGTTCCGTCTTGTCATTTTAACCTTAGCACAAAATTTTTGCATTATTAAAATACAGTACAAAATATAAATGCTCACAACTTATTAATCTTAGATCACAAGAAAGCTAACCAATTGAGCTACACTCATTACGCTATTAAAGTTTGTTTTATTTCCATTTTATTGAACTTGTGAATGACATCTTTGAGGTTTTACGAAATCTCGGTCTTACAATAGACTAGCAAACGTGCAACTTTATTTATACAAACAGTTTAGAAAAATGCGATGTTGTTTTCTTGTTATTATGGCCTTCTCTCTCCCTCCCTCACTCTTGTCTCTTTTATGGATGAAAATTTTACGACACGTGTGTAGTGGATGATCTAACTGCAAGTTTCAGGGTTAGGGCTAGCAGAGGCAAGTTTCGGGGGTAGAGCTAACGGAGGCCGGCTTCGGAGACAGGGTTGATGGAGGGCTACAGTGGCGCTAGAGAAACATAGGTCAACGTCACTGAGGAAGAAGTTATGTCGGTGAGCTAGTGGCCTCAAGATCCCAAAGCCGGAGGTGATGATAGAGGCCGCACACTGCTCCTCTCTGATATCTACAGGAGTTAGGGGAAGAGAAAGAGGGAAGAAGATATATTTTATTATTATTATTTTCCCACTAATACGCAGGCGTCACCATAGCTGTTAAGACTTGTTCAGACATATATAACACCCACGATAAGTTTGGGACTCAAAAGTGTATTTTAAGATCGAATATCTAGATAACATATCCATACAAGTTTATGGATCACCATCCCACTTCACTAAAGATTCTAGCTAGGTTAGGTATGGTCGTTTAAACTAGTGTATGTCAGTATGCTGAACATAAGTGTGTATACAGTGAAAAAAAAGGCTTCGTTCGGCTCTAAAGTCTTCCCTATCCTACAGGCTACAGAGGCTGTGAAGGAACCCTCAACGACCAGTGGGGATTGTCTGCAGTACTGCTGATGCAATAGCACCTAGAGAGGCTCACAGTTATTTGGGCACATGGCAGTTGGCACCGCCTCACGGCGTCTACAGGAGACTGGGCAGGTAGTGCCGTAGAAACTAGAGAATCTCACAGTTATTTGGGAACTTGGCAGTTGGCACCGCCTGTTTTCAACCAGTTGGCTGCTGCCTCCAGGTGTGGCCGGTGCCATATCAGTTTCCACACGCCGTCCCCTCAAAAATTTACCACCATGTAGTAGTTCTCCGTTCCAACAGTCGCGGAGTTGCGTCTCCGTTCCAGATGCTGTGGTCACAGGAGAGTTAGGCACGACTCTGTCCAGCACCAATGCACCAATCCAGGTTAGATGAGCAGACTCGTCAGCATAAATTCTCGCTTGCCAGAAATTAGGCACATGACCCTCAGACCCATGCAGAAAAATTCCAGCAAAAAGAGGCACGCTTTCCACGCACCCGGCCGACTCCGCCACGCCACGCCACACCAGGTGAGGTCCTTGACTAACACGGTACAAACACCGGCTAAGATTGAACAGGATAACATTCAGAAGGAAACATGATCTTACACGACATATGGACTGAAGGATTCAGTCCAGCAACAGCACGGGACAAGCTGAGTAAATCTGTACATCATCATCAATAGCCTATAGTTGTTCCTTCCGTTCCGACGGATCTTGCGCTGAACAAATCCTCGAATCCTCCATCAATTTTTCACCTCATCTCGCTACCAAAAAAAATTCAGTAAGAACAGAGCAGCTGGTGAGCGGAGCCTTTCAGACAGGGTCACGCAGCGCTGCCGCTCGACGTACGGGCTATACAACGGCAACACCACCAGGATGCACATATAGCGGGCAGGCAGATCAGATGCGTATTTCATTCACATTGTCCTGATCAGTTGAGGACATCGACCGGCCAGAACTTTCGCCAAGTCGAGATCTCGTCGCTCGTCTGGAGCTTCCTGATGCCGCCGTAGAACCCGTCCGTCTCGTCGCCTTTCTCCCTGTGATCCTTCCTGCTCACCGTCGTCTGCCTCCACCGCGAGCCGGCCGCGTAGTGCTTGAACTCCAGGACAACCATATCTGCCAGAAATGCACAACGAGATTCAGAAAGAGCTCAGCAACATACAGAATGATCGCTGGGATGCATCAACTGTAATCAGCTGACAATGATGGTCCATGTACAGTCTCTTGTGGATATGAATGGCACGAGATGCAAACAAAAGGGGAATAATACTGTAGCCAGAGTGTACTACGAAGTATCACGCAAGTTGTGGTTTGGAGGCAAAGAATCTTGATCCGATTTCTCCAAAGAAGAAAAAGGCCAAGAATCTTTACTGTCTCCGATATGTCCCCTCCGAATATCAATTTCTTCCTCCTTTATGCAATTATTATGCCCTCATCTTCCATCTGATCATCAGAATATAGCATAACGAGCAGACAGAAGATTGATAATGTGATAGCCACGCTCTTCCCGTACGGTATAGCCTGTGCTCTTTTCCTAATGTTTTTGAGATTTATCTCGGCCGCACGTGTCGCTGCCGAGTGCCGACATCAGATAAAGGTAAAACAAAAGATGGCGGGAGAAAGTAAACGGGATCTTTACCGTCCTCATGGCAGCGACACAGATGCTCGTTGGCGTTGCATGTCTCCTGGTGACCCACGACACCATACCACCAGCCTGTAGCCCATCAGAGACAAAAGCATCAATCAATCGATCCATCACCACTAAATCATATCCAATCCGTCAGCTAATCCAACGCTAGAATCATCAATGTGCAATGGCATAATACCCCAAATTGCCCAAGCAGGTACTCTCTTTTTTTCTCCCCAAATTTTCAGTGACCAAAATGTGTGTGCTACTAGTAGTTAATCTTGGCTTGCTGAAGTGTGAACTCTGAACCATACCGTAAGGGAAATCCTTGTTCTTCCTCCACTGAATCTCGAAGTGGTCACCGGGGCGAAGATCACCGAGGCAGCCGGAGGCGTGGAGGTCGTGCGCCGGCGTGCTCACCGGCGGCGAGCGGACCCTGCTCCACTGCACGCCGCTCTCCTCCTTCGCCGGCTTCCGCCCGTGTGGCGGGTACCTGTAAAAAACAGTCAAAGCCAAGCCATCGCCCATCACCAATCGATCTCAAAATATCAAAGCCATCCTAATCGATGTTCGCAGCCAATATCAGCCCAAAAAGGTTTCCTTATCGCACTCATAAATTCCAATCATGGCATGCTATCGATTGCTCGTCTAACATACATGTGCAGCAACTAACCACTAGCAGCTCTGCTAAATAAACCGAAACTGATCACCAGCGCATGGATTAATTAATTAGCTAGCTTTTGGTGATTGAGGTTAATGCAATCGTGAGTTCGTGACAGTGAGTTAATAGCAGCATGATCACTTTGATCAGGTTGGTTACGTACCTTGCAGTGAATGTGTCAGTACGCCTGTCATAGCGGAGGTGGGCGTCGTAGCACGACAGCACGAACCCGACATGCCCGTCCTGCTAAAGATATTCTTCAATTGTTAAACCAAAACGAAACCGTGATACTCCTACCTAAAATGTAGTGATAGGCTGATAGCCATAATCAATAGTACTGTGTCAAGATAGTTAAACCTCAATTGAATACGAGTAGTTAAGGCCTTAATAGGAAGTTGTTTCCATTACTAAAAAAAAAAAGTTGAGCCTTTATTACAGCTAGAAAACGAGTGGATTTTTAGAATTTTTTTTTTTTTGAGAATGGATTTTTAGATTTTTACCTCGCGGTTGTACACCTGTGCGGGGAACGAGAACTCGCCGCACTCCACCGCGCGGTACCAGGCGGCCACCGTGTCGGTCGCCGGCGAGGGGAGTGGCGACGGCGTGGCGGCGGCGGGCTCGGCGGCGACGGCGTTGCCCTTGAGCCAGCGACAGGTGATCCAAGAGAAGGGCCACGCGCAGGCCAGCGAGTCCGCCAAGCTCCTCCGCCTGGCCGGCCGCGGCAGCGCGCCGGAGCTCCGCCGTGCGGCCAGCTCCGCCTCCCACTCCTTGCGCGCGGCGGCGCCGAGCACGCGCCCCCACTTCCGGTTGACGTGGCGCCCCCACAGGGTGTCCGCAGAGCAGCGGTCCCTGAGCGCGACGCACACGCACGCCATCGCCGCGAGCGACGGCGGCTCCAGCTCCTCGAGGACGCGCTCCAGCGCAAGCTCCGGCAGGTCGAGCAGCGGGAGCGCGGCGGCGTTCAGCTCCGCCTCCGTCCCCTCCTCCCCCTCCTCCCTCGCCGCCAATGCGGGCTCCGGCTTCGCCTTGGACGGCATTATCCTCACCCCCCGCTCCCGCTCCCTCTCCTTGTTGCTGCTTCCGCCGCCTTCGCCGCCCCACGCGCACGCGGCGGAGGCGGAGTGGTGCAGCAGCTCGCGCACGAGCAGGAGCGCGACGAGGCCGAGCTCCCGCACGAGCTTGCAGTGCTTGTGCGTGGCGGCGGGCGCGACGAGCATCAGCGTGAAGGCCGGGAGGGTGGATATAAGGAGCAGCTGAAGCATCTCAGGGAGAAGAAAAAGAAAAAAGGAGAGAGAAAAAAAAAAGCGAGCACCAATCCAAGTAAAGCCGCCTTCTTCTTTCTTGTCTACCGAGGACGACGCGCTCCCGCGCCCGCGCCCGCGGACGAGCAGCCTCTTGTAATCTTGCTGTTGTTGTTGGTGGTGGTGGAGTGGTGCGTTGCGGGCGCGATGCGATGCGGTGCCGGTGCGCGCGGTGGTGGTGGAGGTGGTGGTGGTGGTGCAACGAACGACAGCGCTGCGTGCGTGGACTGCGCGGGCGAGAGAGGGAGAGGTGGCAGGATAGGGCGCGGCCCCGGAAAGCGGGGACAGTGGCGACGAGGTGGCGACGGCAGCTTTGCAGCCGAATGATTCCTGCCTCCCCCTGCCGCCCTCCTCTGCCTCGCCTCGCGTCGCGTCGTCGCTCGCCGATGCCACTGCCCTCTTCTGCTTTCTTGGCGCCAGCCACAGCCACCGCTGCCCCCACCCAAAAGCTTCCCACAGTAGCAGCACTAGTACTCTAGTAGTCTCGTAGTCGTCTACCAGTATACTCCTACCACGGAGAAGAGAACATGGTCATGGCCTGCTTGCTGGTGATCACCTTGCCTTTGCCCATGGCAAACAACATAGTACCACTGCTGCGGTTGGCTGGCTGCGGGTTCGTTGTGCGCCTTTGTTTTTGTTCGTGGAGGATTTGGTTGGTGGGTTTTAGGTGGGATATATATATGTGTGCGGATTTGGCTCGGTGAAGAGGAGGGGGGAGGGGAGGGCAATTTGTGGGTTAATGCTGTGAACATGAAGTTTTCCGAGAAAAATGATGGTGATCTCCTCCTTTTGTAGGTTCGGAGACGGCGGTTGGTGGGTGAAGAAAACCACCTGCTTCTACTTGCCAACTCCGACGAACACCTTGTACCAAACCACCAAATTTTTTCTCCCTGCTGCCGCAACATGTAAGCAACCAGCAGCAAACCAACAGTATTTTATCTCTATTGCACGTCAGCAACCAGCAGTACCCGCTCTTTCTTCTTCTTTTTCTTTTCGTCTTTCACTGGGATGGATGACCCTTGCGTCAAGATCTCACTCCTTGTGCACTCAAAAAAAAATATACTATGACATTACGTGTTCGTTTCGGAAAGATTGTTTAGGTCGGCTGGTGAGAGTTGGTTAAGCTAAGCAGCCAAACTTAAACGTGGCCGTGTGTGCGCATGTGTGCAAGCGAGGGTACGGAGAAAACAATGCGACGATGATGCTGGCACGAGCACGTCCCACCACCAAAAGTCCCAAACGCCTCGTTTGCTCAGATCTCGCGAGCGCGACGCGCACAAAACCTGGCGTTTTGTAGCGCATCAGCCTATAGCTGCTGCAGTGCTGCACACTGCAGCGGTCAAAAGTTGGATTGAGAATTTGAGATACGCACGCACGCACGCACGCACGCAGCAGCTAGCGACGACACGCTGCTCTGTTTAAAAACTATTCTTTCCCCTTCCGGCCGGGGTGGATGGGGGGCAAGATTTGGTGTCATGTTGTGGTTAATCTACTCAGGGTGGCGTTTTGTGGAAAGATACCAAGTTAACTAATTAATCCGGCCACCATTAGTTTGGTGTAGCTCATTGTGCTTCGCCGAGAGGCTTCCACCGCATGGTACTATTATTATTTTTTTTTCATGGACTGTGCACCAATGCAATGCACGATCTGTGGCATGCTTTTTCTCGTGCTAACTGAACGGTGCATACAAGAATAGGGATTCCGTCTTTTGTTCTCTTTACGAGATACGATCAAAACTGAACCAGCACGGATATGCACTTATTTTAAGCGCAAGGGATAAACGAGAAAAAGGAGGATTACAAGTACGGGTGCCATTTTCTTATTCTTTGATTTTTGGTTGACTAATTGGACAAGTACTACTGTACAGTACTACCTGACATCTGAACCGGTGCTGTTGGGTCGCTTGGGCGGCTAGTTCGGCAACGATAACACCTCTTCTGTGATATGGGAGCTGTTATGTCGCTTTTGTGTTTAGCTTGACAGTGACGTCTTGCATTTGGGCTCCGCCATCGTTGTTAGTTGTCTAGCGGTGGGTTTCAGCAGGTTTTCACGTAATTAACCGTACAATTGTATGATTTTCGGGCCAGGTTTTCCTTATAAACTGGGTCAATTCTCTTCTTTAAATATAAAAGTGGAACAAAGTTTTGCCTTAGGTTTCAAAAATGACATCTGAACAGCCACACGAACTGAGTGTACTCAAATTGACCGGCCTATCCGAAGTTCTCAACATAAATAGAGGAGATTCTGCAAGATTGCAAAACAAACAACCACATGCTGGTCGCAGTTTATAACTACTCGTCTTAATCCTTTCACTTTAAACTACTTATCATTTCAGTTTTACTCTAAGTTAATCATTTTATAATTTAATCAATATTTTTAAAAAAGTTATATAATTTAGCAACATGCGAATTATATATTGTGAAGTATCATAAATTTTATTATGTTAGACTATGAATTTCTAAAAATTAATGATCAAAGTTATTTTTTTTCTTTAAAATTAACTATACCAAACATTGTGAGATTTTATATTAATATAGTAGAAAAAATATATATTGATTAAAGTTAGAAATGTTTGATTTAAACAAATTTACAAGTATAAGTATTTTAAACCGGTGGGAGTATTATCTTCTGTGAATTAAAAAACATTTTATTTATGGACGATTTGATCTGGTTTCTTCATCCTGCAGCGATGCGATACCCTGCATGTTTAGTTCATGATTCGATTCTTTAACCCAAAACATGTCTTTACACGTGTTGGAAATGGAATGCTCCTGAAGGACTTTTTGTTTTTCTTTTTCAGCTAAAAGAGAGCAGGAACGTTCCTACTATATTTATTCGCTTTAATCGTGGTAGAAAAGCGAAAGATAATGTGTTACTCTACTGCCTCTTTTTGGTAGCAACAGATCACGTGCTCGAACTGGGCCAAGAGGCTGCTTTCAGTCAGCAATAATCACAAGGTTCATAGGGGATGGCTTCGGAGAAACACCAGTCGAGCCGTCGAGGTGCCGTGCTAGATTGGTAGATTCAGAAATGACTCTGAAAAGCTGGAGCAGCCAACGATAAGCGAAAGGGGCAATTGTAAATTTACCACTGCTTTAAATCATTATTGTAAAACTATCACTAAAAAATTATAAAAATATCACTGTCATTCAAGTGGCAACATTATAAAATTAAAATAACTGGTGGCAAATTTACAAATGCCCAAAGCGAAAACGTTTATCATCCTACCTCTGCCGAAAGTGTAAAGTCCGGTATGGAGACGAAATTCGATGCTGATATATGAATATATGATCCGTTCCGGCGGATCCATTTCGATGCTAGCTGGGCACGCAAAGGAAGCTTCATTGGTGACAGTTCCTGGGCCGAGTTTAGTAACAAATTTTTTCTTTAAATTTTTAACTTTTCTATCACATTAAAACTTTTAAAACTTTCTACAGACATAAATTTTTAACTTTTCTGTCATATCATTTTAATTTCAACTAAACTTTTAATTTTAGCGCGAACTAAACACACCCTTGGTTTCAGTTGCTAAACTCTGTTTGTCAAGTTATTATCGCTGGTGCCTGACTGTTCTCGAGCACGACGCCATGTGACGCAAACAGGGCGTAACAGGTGCACCACTGTTCCGGATCGACGTGATCGAATCACCAGTTCACCACGCCAGATGAGCATGATAAACCATAAATGCTTTGCCGATCTCCAAACGATCGTCTCGCGCGCCCGCTACGGCCCATAGCAATCAACGCACCGCCATGGCCGCCCGCCCGCCCGCCCGCCCGCCGGCGGCGGAACCATGATTAAGACGTCGACGGAATTGATTGTGGAGCAGCATGTGCACGGCCTCAAGTTGTCTCAACTCTCAACCGCGCGTCCTCTAGGTATGGAGAAAAACTAAAAAACGGCTTGCGAAGTTGCGACCAGAGGAGGAGAGGAATCCCGTTACGGTGCTCTCAAATCCAGCTACAGTATTATCTACAGCTTGTAAATCATATCTGATAGTACAAAGTAATTTAATAAATCGTCATCCGGTCAGGCAATGAACCAGTCATGCGAGTTCCCGTACATGTGCATCGACGTCGCGTCGTGATATGCCGATGCGGACGCGGGCGGCGCATTAGGCAGATCGCCACGATGAGTCCGGGGCCCGGGGGGCCCCGGCCGGCCGTGCCGCGGCTGCACGGCACTCCTGTGTTCTACCCAATTGCGACGTCAAATCGACGGTGTTCACCTAAAGTTGGGATCCAGTTTGTTCCCGGGTTATTCCTTATTCCCGTCTGATGTTGGCTGTGTCGCCAATGTGGCTGTCACTCGCGGCCGCTCCACACTATAATAGTGTACTGTGCTAGTGTGGTCTGAAGTCTGCAGCTGTGGACATGGGCACAACGCAACTGGGTGATCTGATTGCGATAAATTATATTTCAGGTTAGAGAAGAGAACCGACGGAACTCGCACGATTCGTCCTCTGCTTGGAGTCATGTTCCAGCCCAGAAGAATGGGTTTGACGCTTTACGGCAGTGATAGGCCTTATCATGTTGAGAAAAGGTGGTACAGCTAGCCGACATGTGCAGCTGCGATCTACAGGGGAACTTTGCTCGCGTCCTAACAGTGGCGCATATCGTATTACCCTTTGAGAATTCGATGATAAGGTTTGGTTGGATAGATCGACGCTGCCAAAGCGCCAATGCTGGACTGACGCTTGTAAATGCGCCAGCAGCCAGCTTAATTTGTTGTGTACTAGGAAGCCATCGATGACAAATATCGCCTAGAAACCGCACGCATGTTCGCCTGTCCATCCACCGGTGGCTTCCTTCCTATCGCTGCCCAAGTGTGTAGTGAGTGCCCCGGCAAGGCGATCAGTGGATATGTGGCAAGATAAGGGAAAACAGAACCGTCCTTTTTCACGGACGTGTGTTGTTGTGGGGCTGTGGCCCATGGACGCGCTCGACGGAGCTGTTATAATGCATCGACAAGTGCGGTGATCCGTGATCGGAATCGGCCCCTATCATTGCTCTCAACCAAGCCATGCGGCGCAATAGTGCTACAAATAGTTAACCAACAAACTCTGCCGACTGATGACTGATCGATCGCCAGATCCACCGCTTGGACCATGCTTGCATGCACCGCGAGTTCTGTTGATGCCGATGATGATTGATCCGACAATGGCGCCCTGCTGCTTCAGACAAATCAACCGAGAATCACGAGCGGTTAAACTATACGCTGCGGTGCCATTGGCCGAACGTACGTAGGGGCTGTTTGGTTCGCTCCCAAAGGTTGCCACGCTAAATCTTAGGCATACCACAATTTCTTAGTATAGTATTTGGTTAGTTGTCACAATTATGTGATACCTTACTTTGCTAGTCATTGGATCTACACGTCATAGACTTAAATTTTTGCCAAACTTAGTCACACTTGTGGCTAACTAATTGCTAGCCTCACTTTGTGTGGCATGATACATTTGTGACAAAGTGAGGTGTGGTAAACTTAGCCATCAACCAAACAACCCCGTACAGCCTGTGCTTGCAGTGCCCGGCCGCGGGCCGCGGATAGGCATAGCTGTAGTAGATCGATCGACGAGGAAGACAACTGCAGTGCGATGGACACGTTACGGCGGGGCGTGTCGACTAGCGTGACGGCCTGACGGGACGAGGATTAGCATTAGCAGTGGCTTGTATGGTACAGCGAACGCGGCGTGAAGAGGGGGGCAGAGTACAGGGGACGGAAGGCGACGGGGAATAAAGGGCGGCGGCGACCGGGACGGGACGGGAGGGGTCGCATGCCCACGCATGGCGCGAGGCGTGGCCACTGGCGTCTGCTGATCTCCACCCGCCCGTGTGCGGTGAAGTACTCCTACTTGAGTACGTGACGGGATGGGTCTCCCCCCCCTTGCCCGCGGCTCGACTTCTCCCCCACGCAGCGGCACCGCGGCATGGGCCGGTCACATGGGCCACTCTGCGGGGGGTGAGGGAGTGCGCGTGCGCGGGGGGAGCGTGTGATGCTGTGAGTAGCCGAGGAGTCGGTTATACACGGGATGCGCCCGTGGGAGAGCGGGAGGGACCCGCGCACGGGGCGCACCGCGCGTTCCGTGGAAACGGTGAAAGGCGGATCGTTGACATCGGTCCAGTTGGTGTTGCGCAGCGCACGGCTCGACGCGGTGCGGTCTGCGGTGCGATGCGCGCGGGGGTTTTAGTGAGTGAGCAACCGCCGAGTTCGGTCGACGAGAAACAGGGCCATTTTCGCTGGGTTGGCCGGGACAGTGCCTACTACGTCTACTTGCGCGTTTCTTGCCGTCTTCCCAGCGTGGGCGGGACCGTGGCAGCATGGGCGCCTGTCGCAAGCGATGGGCTCCCGTGCCTCTTTAATTTGTCATGTACAGTGCGGCCAGTCAATGTGAGAGCGTAATCGATGTTGTGGGCTGCCTGTTGAATTGATCAAGTGCTAATAGAGTAGCAGGTCAATGCAAGACCTTAACTGGAAGGCGACAAAGAATGACGATATGATGTGAGAAGTTTGTGAAGACTTGAAGTCGAATTAAATGTATCGTACGGTAATACAGTTCTCAGTACCTACAAAACTGTATGTCGTATCAATATACCATGCATTTGTACCACGTCAATGATAAGAACAGCACACTGTAGAAAGTCAAAATATGTAGAGTACTACGTGCATCCTATATTTTTCGATAAAGAGAGTACTACATCCATCTTAAGAAAACATCAATCCCTTCTTTGTATAAAGTTAAGACCCAAAGTTGAAACCTCAGCGTTCCACGTCGTCACTAATTCTCAGCCATTCGATCGGTGGATGAGATCGCATATGAACCGTTGGATGAGAAGGTTCCCGGGTGAAGCCCAGCCCATCACGGCCCATGTCCTCTCTCTCCAGGGTTTCTTCACCCTCCATCGCATCACAACATCCGCTCTTCTCCTCCCCCATCCGCGCGCGCCAGCCGCCGTGCTCGGCGGACGCGGACGAGCGCGGCGACGACGGCATCAGACGCGGATGAGGGAGGCGACAGCGGTCTAGGGCGCGGTGGACGCGGACGAGGGCGGCGACGGTCGCGGACGAGGGCGGTGGCAGCGGTCGAGGGCGGCGGCGGCGACGACGGCGGACGCGGACGATGACGGCTGCGTTGGTCACGGCGAACGCGGACGAGGGCGGCAGCGGCGGAGGTCGTGGACGAGGACGGCAGCGGTTGAGGGCGGCGGCAGTGGTCGATGGCGTGGTGGACGCGGACGAGGGCGGCGGCGGACGCGGACACGGACGAAGGCGGCAGCGTCGGTCACGGCGAACGCAGACGAGGGCGGCAAGCCGGCAACAACGGTCGTGGCATATGATTTCTGAGATTTATTTGTTTTTGCAGCTCTATGTGCAGATGAGTACTCTCCGTCTCTCCGTCGCATATCGAGAATGCCTATTGCCTGTGATGCCTTCTATGTTTCGGTTCTGAGCAGCAGTAAGCCCATTTTTATTTTACTGCTATGTGTGTTCCTAATTTTTCTCTTCCATTTCATTAATTAATTAGTTTATCCATTGTGGGTTCTAAATAAAAAATATGTTAATTCCCTCTTGACTGACGCCATGAATCAATGACCAGCGTTTATCTTGCAAACCCAGTTAAGTTCTTACTTATCCTGAACATTTTTCTGACAGTACGTTGGTGAGCTAATCAGTTGGTCCCTTTTGTGTAGGTTGAGCAAATAAGGAGGCAAGATTCTAAGGATTCAAACTTATTGTGTTTAGTTAAGCAACACAACAAGGTCAGCACTTAATCTTTTTTTGTGTATGTATGGATATATTCCCTTTATTCATTGATTTGCACTACTTTAGCATAGCACTAGCTGTCTTATATGGAAATGAATTGGTTACATATTGGTTCAATCTAAATATATATATACAGTAGACCCACCCGATTCATTTTGACCAAATGCAATTTCAATTTACTAGGCACTTCCATCAGTTATCTATATGCAAAGATTAATCTTAGAATGCTACGTATGTATTTCAGCAGCAATATTAAACCACATTTGTTTCAACCATCAATACTATACGATATAAATTGTTATAAACCTCACCATCTTAATTATTTATAGTTTTTTTTCAATAGTTGATTAGAGTTGAAAATTATATGAGTGTAACTATTATTTCTTCTAATATCATATAAAAAACTCCTGCAGCAACGTGCGGGACTTCATCTAGTTTTATAAATAAATTTAGACATCACTACGCAGTTCATGAGAATCATCGACACAAAATCTACGGTCTAAAGTTGCATGTATGTTTGCTCTAAGGGCGTTCACAACACGTACATATCCCGATGCGCCAGCTCGGCATTTTACCTTCATGAGCGCGATCGTTGGGTCCTCGGGAAGAAATATAATGCATATTCTTTAGAGACACATTCTCTAACTCACGCGGGCAAAATCGGAACTCGGGAATCGGCTGACACTCATGGTATGGCCGTCATGTCCTCATGACACCGATCCTGCCCAATCCTCAAAACCGCCCCTCTGCACGGCACTGGATCGATAAACTCTTGCGCTCGCTTTCGCTGTCCCGTGCTCACATTTGCCCTCGCGACCCGCTTCCATCTCGTCGGCAGTCGTTGCCTCGCTCTTCGCCGGTGGCTAGAGGCATTGTCAGGATCAGCATCTCGAAGGTATGTTGCCGGTAAACCCTAATTGATGGCTGAATCATGCGTTGCTTGCTCTTGAAGTTCCGCTTTGGCCTCTCTTGGTGAATCAGCTTCGATAGATCCGAGCCGTGCATGTGGATTTAACCAGTTTGAGCATGTGAAACCATCAGTCAACCTATTCCCTTCCCTACCTACAACCTACCCGGTGTTCCCCTTTTCTGTCTGCACAGTATCTGATAGTCTACACGCAACCATAGGCCCCTCCCGTGCCACTTTCGCTGGCAACAACCACAACGACTGGGACAACACATCATTGCGAGGCTCCAGATCTGCATGGCAGCACAGTGTGATAGCCACTCTAAAATCTACGGAGGAACCGAGAGGGAGAAAGTACTATTCGGTCGAAGAGGATAGCGGGGTAGGCATGGGATTTAACACACATTTCAATTGGCCTAGCAAGGAAACAACGCAAGATGTGTCACACACATCATAGGTTGAGTGTCTTCTATGTGAGCCTACAGATATAATGGATCCTATTTGAAGCCGCATTACACTGTGGTGTCTGTGTCTTTTTAAGGTCTGAGACCTAGATGGCAGCTTTGGTCTATAAAATATGTGTCCTACATTGCTATTGCCCTAAGAAAGACAAATCAGCAAGGGAACATAAAAAGCTGTTACTATTCTTGGGCTAAAGCTTAATTCTAGCCCATAGCTTATCGAGTCTGCTCCGTGGGCTGTCAGGCCGAAAGGCCAAAGCCCATGAAGCCATAACGATGGATCTGGAATCGAATTTTTTTTATTTATACATTTTTTTATTAAAATATTTACAAAAATAATTTTTTTTCGAAAATTTACAAATCTAATCGCCTGCCGCCGGAGATTTTTAAAAATCGTCCTCCCAAAGGGCGGCAAGGGACCTAAATGCAAATTTTTTATTTGTGTTCAAACTCTTTCCACCGGTTTTAATTGCTTAAAAACTAATAATGCTTATTCGATACTCCAAATGATTTTAAATGGAAAAGTGATAAACTACAAAGTTATAGATCTCATCAAGACCTACAACTTATATATAAAGTTTATCTCCATTCAATGTCGTTTGAAATGTAGATCTGAGATTTTTTTAAATGTGTTTTATATTTTGTAACGAATATTTGGATATTTTAAATGAAAAAGTTGTTAACTACAAAGTTGTAGATCTCCTTGAGCTCTACAATTTTGATATAAAGTTTTATTTCATCTAACTTTATATAATATAATTATAAATTATAAAATCATAGAGCTAACAGGTTGTGCTAGAAAATTTGCATTTAGGTCCCTTGCCGCCCTCTGGAAGGGCGATTTTTAAAAATCGCCGCCCTTTGGCGGCAGGCGATTAAATTTGTAAATTTTCAAAACAAAAAATTATTTTTGTAAATATTTTAATAAAAAAATGTATATAAATAAAAAAAATTCTCTGAAATCTGCTACTCCGAGTTGGCCCATAATCCCGAAGCTGTAGCCAGTAGGCCTGCTCTGCTGTCTCGTATTTTCACTTTTCTGTGAATTGTGATGCACATTTTGCACTTGATATTCACGGGAAGACTACGTATCAAACGTCTAATTTTTCTCCTAAAAATCAGATAATGTTGCACCGCTGGTAAAAAAAAAATTTCGTCTCTGTATAAAAAATATTTCAAATAATTAAAATGATGAAACACAGTGGAATCAAAGATTTGAAACATTTTTGTCTCACTCATGAAACATCAACGATTCCTAAAATATAGATCATAAAAATGTGATACACCATTAAAATAATACATAGTGTAATATTTTGATTTAACAAAGAGAAATATCTATCTATTATGTTATTAAAGGAATAGAAAAAGGAACCTCCACGTTCGCTCTCATGGTCTAGAAATTCTCACATTAATCGGAGAAAAAGAAAAAGCAGAGTCCATATAAAAATACAATTTATTAATAGCTGAAATTTGGAATTAAAAAATAAGGAATATTAGAAGAGGAGACTAGAGTCCATATAGAAATATAATTTAGAAATAGTTGAAATTCGGAATTAAAAAATAAGGAATATTAGAAGAGGAGACTAGAGTCCATATAGAAATACAATTAGAAATAACTGAAATTCGGAATTAAAAATAAGGAATATTAGAAATAAAGTATAGAGTCCATAACGAAATACAATTAGGAAATAATAGAAATTTGGAATTAAAAATAAGGAATATTAGAAGTAGAGTATAGAGTCTATATAGAAATACAATTAAGAAAAAATAGAAATTCGGAATTTAAAAATAAGGAATATTAGAAGTAGAGTATAAAGTCCATATAGGAATTTAAAACTAACTAAAATTTGGAATAAAAGTAATAAAATTAAAAGTAGAGTTTAGAGTCCGTATAAAAATACAATTTACAAGTAACTAAATTTCGAAATTAAGAAAAACATGGGAAGAAGAGTTTAAAATCAATATAGGAATACAATTTAGAAGTAACTGAAATTTGAAATTAAAAATTAAAGAATATTGAAATATGAGTTTATATAGAAATACAATTTAGAAATAGCTGAAATTCGGAATTAAAAAATAAGAAATATCAGGAGAGGCGACTAGAGTCCATATAGAAATACAATTTAGAAATAGTTGAAATTTGGAATTAAAAAAATAAGGAATATTTGAAGAGGAGACTAGAGTCCATATAGAAATACAATTAGGAAATAACTGAAATTTGGAATTAAAAATAAGAAATATAAGAAGTAGAGTATAGAATCCATATAGAAATACAATTAGGAAATAAATAAAAATTCGGAATTAAAAATAACGAATATTAGAAGTAGAGTATAGAGTCCATAAAGAAATACAATTAAGAAAGAAAAATAGAAATTCAGAATTAAAAAATAAGGAATATTAGAAGTAGAGTATAGAGTCCATATAAGAATTTAAAACTAACTAAAATTCAGAATAAACATAATAAAATGAATGAAAAGTAGTGTTTAGAGTCCGTATAAAAATACAATTTACAAATAACTAAAATTCGAAATTAAGAAAAACACGAGAAGAAGAGTTTAAAGTCAATATAGGAATACAATTTAGAAGTAACTGAAATTTGAAATTAAAAATTAAAGATTATTGAAAGATGAGTTTAGAGTCCACATACAAATACAATTAGAAATAATAAAAATTCAGAATTAAAAAAAGAAATATTTAAAGACGAGTCTAGAGTCCATATAGGAATATATATAATTTACAAATAACTAAAATTTGATATTAAAAATAATTAATAACTAACACGTATATAAAATACAATATGAATATTACACATTAGTAGTTTCTTAAAGTTATTGCAAAATTTAAAATTATGTTGTCATTGTAATATATTTTAATAATATAATGAGAAAACATATATGCTATTATATGAGAAAAAAATATAATGATGCTGGCCGCGCAATTTGAGCGGGCCACCATACTGGTTATATTATTAAAGGAATAGAAAAATGAGCCTCCACGTTCGCTCTCATGGCCTAGAAATTCTCACATTAATCGGAGAAAAAGAAAAAAAACAAAGTCCATATAAAAATACAATTTAGAAATAGTTGAAATTCGGAATTAAAAAAATAAGGAAAATTAGAAGAGGAGACTAGAGTCCATATAGAAATACAATTAGGAAATAACTGAAATTCGGAATTAAAAAAATAAGGAATATTAGAAGAGGAGACTAGAGTCCATATAGAAATACATTAGGAAATAACTGAAATTCGGAATTAAAAATAAGGAATATTAGAAGTAGAGTATATAGTAAATACAATTAGGAAATAATAGAAATTTGGAATTAAAAATAAGAAATATTAGAAGTAGAGTATAGAGTTCATATAGAAATACATTAAGAAAAAAAAATAAAAATTCGGAATTAAAAAATGAGGAATATTAGAAGTAGAGTATAGAGTCCGTATAGGAATTTAAAACTAACTAAAATTTGGAATAAACATAATAAAATTAAAAGTAGAGTTTAGAGTCCGTATAAAAATACAATTTACAAATAACTCAAATTCGAAATTAAGAAAAACATGGGAAGACGAGTTTAAAGTAAATATAGGAATACAATTTAGAAGTAACTAAAATTCGAAATTAAAAATTAAAGAATATTGAAAGATGAGTTTAGAGTCCACATAGAAATACAATTAGAAATAATAAAAAATCAGAAATAAAAATAAATAATATTGGAAGAAAAGCATAGAGTCTATATGGAAATACAATTTACAGAAAATTCGGAATTAAAAAAAGAAATATTAAAAGACGAATCTAGATTCCATATAGGAATATATATAATTTAGAAATAACTAAAATTTGATATTAAAAATAATTAATAACTAACACGTATATAAAATACAATATAAATATTACACATTAGTAGTTTTGTAAAGTTATTGTAAAATTTAAAATTATGTTGTCATTTTAATATATTTGAATAATATAATGAGAAAACATATATGCTATTATATGAGAGAAAATATAATAATGCTAGCCGCGCAATCTGCGTGGGCCACCGTGCTAGTTAAGACAAAGTAGACTGAAACATCGAAAAATTAGGGGTGAAAGCGGATCGGATTCGGACGGATAATAGCTATACCATATCCTAAACCATTTTTTTTAAGCGGATGCGGATGACGTGCAGATGTGGATGCGGAGCGGATTATTTCGGACGTCGGATTCGGTGTGGAGTCGGTGCGGACTTGGTTCGGAAACGGACAAAAAGTTGTCGGATGTCAAGTTTGTATTCAATCCATACAACAAGAGGGCAGCAATACAATTAGCCCCAATACAATAGCAAAACATCATTAGTTCACTATGTTCAGTTCAATAGTATAACTATAAGTGTTCAGTACTTCAGTTCAATAGTTCACTAGTCAAAATAATCCAAGATGCATCCATGATGCATCAAAAACATAATATAAGAAATGAAGAAATGAATAAATGATGAACAATTAATCAAATTATAACTTGCTATTGATGTAATTTCCGCAAGCAAATCTCTTCTCTACATTTCTAAATCCCAAATTTGAAACTTCAAATAATCAAATTGGATTGCAAGTGTACAAGAAAACAATACATCAATAGTTCAAAATCAATACCTAATCTGTCGTTGGCCGTCACAAATTGGATGGCGCCGGCGACTGTGTGTACTGGCGCTGGCAGCGGCGCCGACAAGCCGAGCGCTACCAGCCTGCAGTGGAGCTCCGGCGGCGCGTGTGGGAAAAGATGCGAAGAGGAAGAGGCGACTCGCGGACTCGAGAAGAGACAGACGGGCGACGGCGCAGGCATTCGGCAGAGAGAGAGAGAGAGATTTGGGGAGGACTGAGTGGATTAGGTCACAATAGATGGGCTGAAATACTAAAAGTTGCGGATTATCCGCCAAATAGTACATCGGATAATCCGATCAAAATATCGGATAATCCACATCCGTCGGATATCGTTGATACCACATCCGTATCCGGCCGGATATCTAAAAACCCTTACCATATCCTCACATTGGACGGATTCGGAGCGGATCGGAGCAGATAATATCCGCTCCGTTTTCACCCCTACAAAAAATCATAAAAATATCTCAGTCATTTGGCTCTTCCTTCACTCTGGTGGTCAAATCTTCAACTTGTACTTCAAGCCGACCACCTAACAACGATGACGGTCAGCCATGTACTCCCTCCGTCACAAAAAAAGATAAATCCTGGTTTCCGTGCCCAACGTTTGACCGTCCGTCTTATTTAAAAAAAATTGAAAAAAATTAAAAAGACAAGTCACGCATAAAATATTAATCATGTTTTATCATCTAACAACAATGAAAATATGAATTATAAAAAAATTTCACATAAAACGGACAGTTAAAATTGGACACGGAAACCCAGGGTTTGCCTTTTTTTTTTTTTTGGACGGAGGGAGTATCTGATTCTACCAGGCAACAGCCGCAACAGGACAAGACCCTATCAAGCAGGGGAGCTAGCTCCTATGGTGGGATGGACCTACTGCAACCCTGTTTAGATGGGACTAAAACTTTCAAGTCCCTATCACATCAGATGTTTGGACACTAATATAAATATTAAACGTAGACTATTAATAAAACCCATCCATAATCTTGGACTAATTCGCGAGACGAATCTATTGAGCCTAATTAATCCATGACTAGCCTATGTGATGCTACAATAAACATTATCTAATTATGGATTAATTAGGCTTAAAAAATTTGTCTCGTGAATTAGCTTTCATTTATGTAATTAGTTTTGTAAGTAGTCTATATTTAATACTCTAAATTAGTGTTTAAATATATGGACTAAAGTTAAGTCCCTGGATACAAACACCACCTACATATCGGAAAACAAATTTCCATTGCCCTTGCACCAAAAAAAAGGAAAGGTAGCACAGGTACGCAAATGTAGCAGCAAAAAAGGATGCCTTCTTGGTGAGAAGCGTTTTCCTTGATATCCCACCCCGAAGCAGAAATCTTAAGACGTCGAAACATTGCCATGATGCTAACCATCCTCGAAAGTCGAAATCAAAACGATAAAAGCAAAATGAAGTGCACTCCATAACAAACAAAACCCAAAGTAAGAAAGAAAAAGAAATGTATGCCCAACGTGCATGCCTCATACATCCCACGTACGTGCATTCCACCAACAACCCTGAAGCTAGCGAGACGCCGAGTCGCCGACACACCGTCTAAAACGGAAAAATTGACGAGACGTGTCCTCTCGTCTTGGCGTCTCCCCTTCAAAAACACCACAGGGCACAACATTGCTCTCCTCCTGTGTCAAACGTGTCAGTCCGGGCGGGCGGCAACAAGCATGCTACGCTACAACGCAACGCCGAAGGCCTCGCCGCCGATGTCGCCGCTGCGCCCGCCGCCGACGCCACGCACTCCCCTCGGCGGCGCGGCGACCACCCCGGATCAGCTGCCTCCGCCCTCGCCGCACACGCCACGCCCGGCGATCACGCTCACCGCGCCCCCTTCCAAGAAGAAGCGCCGCGGCGGCGCCGCCGCGCGCTCCCTCCGCGCCATCCGCGCCGTGCGCGCGCTGTTCCGGTCGCTCCCGATCCTCGCCCCGGCGTGCCGCTTCCACGGCGCCATCCGCGCCCCCGGCGGCGCGTCGCGGGCGCACGACGGCCACGTCAGCGGCGCGTCGCGCACGACGGGGACCCTGTTCGGGTACCGCAAGGCGCGGGTGACCCTGGCGGTGCAGGAGACACCCGGGAGCGTGCCCATCCTGCTGCTGGAGCTCGCCATGCAGACCGGCAGGTTCATGCAGGAGATGGGCGCCGAGCACCTGCGCGTGGCGCTCGAGTGCGAGAAGAAGCCGCCGGGCGCCGGCGCCGGCATCGGCCGCACGCGGCTGCTCGACGAGCCGCTGTGGACGGCGTACGTGAACGGGCGCAAGATCGGGTACGCCATGCGCCGGGAGCCCACGGAGGGCGACCTCACCGTCATGCAGCTGCTGCGCACCGTGTCGGTCGGCGCCGGCGTTCTGCCCACCGACGTCATGGGAGGCGACGCCGGCGCCGAGGTGCAGGACGCCGGTGACCTCGCGTACATGCGCGCGCGTTTCGACCGCGTCGTTGGCTCCCGCGACTCCGAGTCGTTCTACATGCTTAACCCCGACGGCAACAATGGGCCGGAGCTCAGCATCTTCTTCATTAGAATATGATGAGAATTCTGCTAGTTCTCTCCTGTGGTCTTAGACTCGTGTGCTTGCAGTTGCAGATGACAATAGCGTAGTTTACAACGCTGTAACTCTTGACATGGGGGATTCAAAATTAGATGCGGCACTTGCATCTGCAGATCGATTTCTGGTTTCTTTCATTAATTTGTGATCACGTCGATCATGGTTCAAAGTTGTTTGCTTTTTTTTAGGACAAATAAAATCTTGTTAGGACCTAGGAGTTGTGATTTTGTTACCACATTCAGAGTTTCTGTATTTCTGAAACTGAGCAGGCAATCAGCTCACTAGTACAAAAATACATTCAGACTTTCAGAGAATTTGTATTTGTGAAACTGAGCAGTCAATTAATTACCAAAAAAAGGATTTGTAGTTCTTTTTTGTTAGAACAAATGAAATAATGTTAGGACTTGTGATTTAGTTACCACATTCAGAGTTTCGTATTTCTGAAACTGAGCAGGCAATGAGCTAGCAAAAAAATACATTCAGACTTTCAGAGAATCTGTATTTGTGAAACTGAGCAGTCAATTAATTACAAAAAAAAAGGATTTGTAGTTTTTTTTGTTAGAACAAATGAAATAATGTTAGGACCTGTGATTTTGTTACCACATTCAGAGTTTCGTATTTGTGAATCTGAGCAGGCAATCAGCTAGCAAAAAAATACATTCAGAGAGTTTGCATTTCTGAAAACTGAGCAGTCAATTAATCACCAGTGGTATGAACAACATTTGTAACAGCATAAATAAAGGTTTTAAAAAAATTTGGGTAAGATCCGCCGAAGCGGGTAGCCTTAACCGCAATGTGATGGAGGAAAGCCCGAAAGCTGATCCCGTCCCTGTCAGGGGAGATGCCAACCGTCTCTCCTTTCTACGAACACGGCTAGTGGTTGCCCACTGGGCCTTATAAGGAAGTGGACTTCTTCTCAAATTGGCGAGGTGGTACTAAAGACTCCGAGCGAGCGAGTACAGCACAGTATGATTAAGCTCGGCGAAATTTGCCTGCTTGTTGTTCTCTTAATACATACGTGTCGCACAAAACTAAAGTTGGTTGGTTGAAACAGGGTGATGCGGATATCTCACAAGATACTAGCTAGTTGGTATTGAATAGCTTTAGTTCATCGTCAGTTCGTAAAAAAAGGTGAAGAAAAAATAACAACTAATTAAATTATTTCCCTTTTCTATCCGTAGACCCGACTAGTTTCTTCTTGAGAGGAGAGAGAACCATATCTACTAGTTAAAGATGCCGTCGTCAACTCCTGTTTAGCTTTGTTAATGATACTGGAGTTTCTCAAACATAATTATCCACCAGCTATAATTAGGCAAAGCCTTTTACGGTAGCTCTCTCCACACAGGCCCTATCTATCTACTCAGTCTGTTTGTTTACTCACTTCCAGCCCAGTTCCAATTCCTTCCCTGATCCCTCCCATGTGGCCCAAAGCCCAGCCAAACCAGAGCAAAATGCCATTGATGGAGCACTGCAGCTGATCCCTCGCTATGTCTGTCGCTCACCAGTGGTAAGGCAGTACTCAATGGCTCCATCGAGTTAGTGTAAAACTCGCATTGAAGCTGCTTCACATTCCCATTAATGGTCGATAAATAAGCAGCCGGCTTCTGCACAATGTGTAAATGGATACACAGCAAGGAGAATTCGAGAGGAGTTCAAGAGCTGAGGTTAGGAGCACGACGACTGCGTCGGATAGAGGTGCGAGCAATTCGGTGGTGAGAAAATGAGAGATCTAGATCGTGGGTATGAGAGCCACCGAGAAGTTCACCCGAAGGCAATCTGGTAAACATGGTCCACGCCAGCATAGTTTGCATCAGAACCAGCTTTTGGAAAGATAGATGGCTTAAAAATGCCGCTGCAAGAGAAATTCCCAGCTCTATTCTCCCATTCCAAGGAACAACAAGCAACAGTGGCACAAACTATACAAGCGGAGGTTCCCAATACTTTGTTTGTTTCATATGTAGGTGACTCGATGTCTCGGGAGAGTATTTGCGGTGATGGACCGGGAGTCGGCTTGGGGATAAGACGACGTCCGTGGTGGTCAGATATCATGCGGGATACTTAGGCTAGAGTTGATGCACGTGGTTAATGGAGATTCCATATGGCATACGATGGAGGAATTGTGTGTGTATGGGATGCGGAGTCGAATTTAGAAGGAGTCCGAATTTGATATGATTGGTTATGTAAAGTTTCTTTCTTGTACTAAGGGTTTCCTAAGGTGTTTAGGACTCTTAGTATGAGTTTGGTTCGTGGCTTTAGGTTACCTACCTCATGTATAAATAGAGGGGGAGCGTGAGGCTTCCCGGTATCGCTTTTGAGAGCAATTGAGTTGAGTTTTGAGTTAGGGTTTCGAGTTTAGTCGAAATTTTTGTAAGGAGTGTTGTTGGTGCACTTTGTAAACACAGAGAGAATCAATAAAGTCGTCATCTACTTTAAGAGTTTTTCGATTTGTGTTTACCGGGTTTCGGCGGTCTAACCGGCGATCTACCGGCGGTCAGACCGGCGGCAAGCGGCGGTCAGACCGGTGGGAGCACGGCAGTCAGACCGGCGGCAGCTACAGGCGCGGCAGGCGATCTCAGCGGTCAGACCGGCGGCATCTACTCGGTCAGACCGGCAGATCAATCTCGGTCAGACCGACTTCCGTCGATTTTGAGGGTAATTTTTATTTCCGCCAAAAGTTTTTGGTTTTTGGGTATACCAACCATTCACTCCTCCTCTGGTTGGCTTAGTTCTTGTGATTCGATCCTACAAGTGGTATCAGAGCCTTGTTTTCTTCTTTGGATTTTTATCGATCTAGAGTTTTTGCCATGGCTACTCCCGCTAGGTTTTCAACTAAGCCTCGTATTTTCGATGGAACGGATTTTTCTCATTGGTGTAGTAGGATGCAATCTTATATTATGGCTGAAGATTATGATATTTGGAGAAAAGTTTCTCATCCTTATGTGATTCCTGAAGCTATTAATACTGCTGCTGAAAAAACTGCTTCTGAACAAAACTGCAAAGCTCGCAATATTCTTTTGAGTGGTATTTCTCGTTCGGATTATGATCGTGTTGCTCATCTTCAAACTGCTCATGAGATTTGGACTGCTTTGAGTAATTTTCATCAAGGAACAAATAATATTAAAGAACTTCGTCATGATCTTTTCAAAAAGGAGTATATTAAATTTGAGATGAAACCTGGAGAAGTTTTGGATGACTATCTTTCTCGGTTTAATAAAAGTTTGAGTGATCTTAGATCTGTTGATTCTTCTTATGATGCTAATTATCCACAATCTGAGATTTCTCGCCACTTTTTGAATGGTCTTGACATGTCTATTTGGGAGATGAAAGTTACATCTATTCAGGAATCTGTTAACATGTTGTCGCGTCCCAAAACGACTCTAAAATACACCCTCTAAATTATGCCTAGAATAATTAAAAACCGTGTGAAAGCCTCCAACAATTAAAATGTGCAAAGTTAAAAGTCAAACAAGGCTTAGAGGATTTTTGTATATTTCCTAAAAGCCTAAAATATGTAAATAAATTTTAGTGGAATTTTCAGAGCACAAATAATAATTGTTAAGAAATAAACAAAGTTAAAAAGGTTTTATAAAAAGAAAAACCCTAAAACCCCTCCTTCTCTCTAATGGGCCGAATTCGGCCCATCTCCCTCCCCCTCTCTCTCCTCTCCCCGCGGCCCACTCGGCCTCTCCCCGCGGGCGCGCCGCTGACGGGCGGGCCCTCCCGCCACCCTCGCTGACGGGTGGGGCCCACCCGTCATCCCCTTCCTCCCGCCGCTCCCGCCGCCTCCCCCGCGCCCTAGCGCCGCCGCCGCCGCGAATCCCGCCGCCTCCCGCCGTCCCCGCGTGCAATAAAGTGGGGGAAATCACTCCCGTGATCCCCTTTTCCTTTCCCCCCACTTCTCCCTCTCTCTCTCGCGTTCAAACGGGCGGATTTGCCCCCACAAATCTCGCCGGCGCCATTGATGGCGGCCGGACCTCCCGCGCCGGTTTCCTTCCCCTCCGGCCGCTCTCTCCCCCTTCCAACCCTATTTAAACCCTCCCCGCACCTCCTCCGTCCGTTTCCGCCTCTCGCCGCCCTTCCTCCTTGCCGGATTCGAGCTCGCGACGTCGCTCTCTCTCTCCGCCGTCGCCGCCGAGCTCTGGTCCGCCGCCGTCGTCGCCCCGGACCGCCTCCTTCGGGTTCGCCGCATCCTCACCGACCTCGTCCACCTCTCCGTTTCGGTCGCCGACCGCCGGAACGCCGTCGACCCCGTCGACCCGAGCCGCGCCGCCGCCTCCCTCCGCTCCGGCCGCCTCCTCCGTCGCCGCCGTCGCCCCGGGGTGAGCCGTGGACCGTCGCTTCCTTTCCCCCTTCCCTCCCCTCTCTCGGCCGCATCTCCGCCGCGCCGGTGGTCGCCGGCGGCGACCATCGGGGAGCGGGCGCGCCGCCTCCCGCCGACCGCGCCGGCGTGGCCGCCCTCGGGCGCGCCGAGCGGCTGCCGCGTGGGGCCCGGCCGTCAGCTGCCCGCGTCCTCGGGTGCGGCTGACGTGTGGGGCCCACGGCGCCGGCCGGTGTGAGCCTGGGTGCACCCGGTCCACCGTGGACCGTGAGGCTGCCGCGTGGGCCCCACTCCCGTGGACCCGGTCCGCGCGCCCCTCCCCCTCGGCTGACGCAATAAACCCTTTTTAAATTAAAATTTAAATTAAGAAATTCGTAAATATTCATTTAAAGAGCATATAAACTTCAAATGGCCATAACTTGGCCATTTGAACTCGGAATTGGACCGTTCAAGTCTCTAATTTTTCCTTAAGAAGTCAAGAACCCATTTTTGTGCTTTGTTCTTGTTGGTTATATGGAGTTTATTAGAGTAAAAGCCTTTTCTTTTCTGTTGGTCGTGTAGACGCTGCAGCTTCGGAAGATCCGCTCTTCGTGGAGGTTGAAGCCGACGTTTGGGAAAGCGAGCAAGGCAAGTCACATCATCCTTGAACATATTGAATCCCAGTTTATAAAATTATTTTGATGTAAATTATTGCATTATCGCTTTATTTAAATTCCCGCGTTATCACTGTTTTATCTAGCCATGCCTATTTACTTTTGTTATGACCTTATTATTGTTATTGTTATTATTACCTTGTTCACCCTAGAATAAACAAAACCCCAACTAGTGGACACTCTACTCATGGTACCACTAGTATGAATTTAGGTAGATGCTTCGCCGCTTAATTAGGTAACATTAGGTGGTTTTACAACTCTAGACTTTGGGATATTCATATCACCTGGACACTACGGAATGGTTGGATTATTGTGGAATTGGGTTCACACCTCCCCCTCTATTCAAAATCCTCAAAATGGTTTTAGGCTGGGCTTGGGGTGCATGGTTTTGATAGTAGCACCTCGGCCATATAAGGACCGGTCTTCAGGCCTCTGTTGCAAAGCACTACCGTACTTCCACATGTCTAGTGGGTAAGGCTTAGTTTGTGGCTCAGTCTGGTTATAAATAAAAGTACACGGATGGAGATGGACGAAGTCGGGGGTCGATGGACATCTCTAGGACAAATGAAGGCTACACGAGCTGCGGCCCGGTAGTCGAGATGTCATGGCACAGGGCCGGTGTCCTGCTGCAAGGGGCTCAGTCCTGCCTACCTGTCACGGGGGTTCCGGCCATAGGTGGGGTTGGGTCGGTACTCTTGTCTATGGCTAAGATGGGTTGGAAACTATGTCACGTCTTCCGCCCGTATACCGTGGTGGTATGTGGCACGTGGTTACACGTGAGGAAGATGTGTCTTGTGGGTAAAGATGTACACCTCTGATCAGAGTATAACCTATTCGAATAGCCGCGCCCTCGGTTATGGGCAAGCCGAGCAATGTACCCAAGTTAGTGTTTTTAATTCT